TAGATCTTCACAGGCAATTTCCTAGTTTGAAACAAAACGATTTATTGTATGTATTTTCTTTTTCCTACTCTATTTCTGTTCATCTCTTTCTCTCAATAGTATCTAGTTTGTCTTTAGGACTACAACTTACTTTGTTTTGCTCTTTTTCTCTCTGGAGGTGAGAACAGATAATGTGTAGTATTGTGTTCTTCTTTAGTTACTTATAGTTCATTTGGTTCTGTTCTATACAGTATTTTATGATGTAAACACTTCTGCAAGCTTTTCTTACTGTTTCTTTACTCTCTACTAGAAGAACATCCCATCTTTCTTTTTTCAGTTCATTTGTTAATATTCTATCATCTCTAGTAAAATGTAGAAATTATTTACCCCTTTCCATATTCTTTATGCTATTCCTGTCATATGTATTATAGCTACATATAAACATATAATACAATGTTGTGATTTTTGTGTTAATTTTTGCTTTGTATTTAGCTATTTAATGCAAAAGAATAAAATTGGACTGATACGTCATACTATATATAAAAATTAACTCAGGCCGGGCACAGTGGCTCATGCCTGTAATCCCAGCATTTTGGGAGGCCAAGGCGAGTGATCACTTGAGGTCAGGAGTTCGAGACCAGCCTGGCCAACATGGCGAAACCCTGTCTCATTAGCTGGGTGTGGTGATGTGTATCTGTAATCTCAGCTACTGGGAGGCTGAGGCAAAAGAATTGCTTGAACCCGGGAGGGGGAGGTTGCAGTGAGCCGAGATCGTGCCATCGCACTTTAGCCTGGGTGACAGACCAAGACTCTGTCTCAAAAAAAAAAAAAAAAAAAAATTTAAAATAGATGAGAGACCTAAGATTAGAAGTTAAAGCTATAATACTCTTATAAGAAAATGTAGGGGTAAACCTGCATAACATTTGTTTTATCAAAGCCTTCTTAAATGGGACACTAAAAGTATGAACAACAACAACAGGATAAATAAAACTTCTTCAAGTTTAAAAAATTTCCTGCTTCAAACAGTGAAAAGACAAACAACAGGAGAAGATATTTACAAATGATTTATCTGACAAGGGGCTTGGGTCTTGAATATGTGAAGAACTCTTACAATTCAATAATAAAAAGACACTTAATTTTAAAAGTAGACAAAGGACCTGAATCAAGATTTCTCCAGAGAAAATATACAAATGCCCAAGAGCACATGAAAAAGAACCTCAACCTCATTAGTCATGAATTTTGAAAGCATTATGCTAAATGAAAGAGATCAATTACAAAAGACTACATATATGATGACATTTATATGAAATTTCCAGAATGAGGAAATCTCTAGGGACAGAAAGTAGATATTGCTTAGGTCTGAGAGGTAGATAAGGAGACAGGAGACTGATAGCTAGAGTTTATGGAGGCTGGGTCTGATGGGGTTTCACCATGTGGTTCACGCTTGTAATCCTAGCACTTTGGGAGGCCAAGGTGGGAGGATTGCTTGAGCCTTGGAGTTCAAGACCAGCCTAAGCAACATGGCAAAACCCTGTCTCTACCAAAAACTAGAAAAATTAGCCAGGCACAGTGGCGCATACTTGTAGTCCCAGCTACTCAAGAGGCTGAGGTAAGAGGATAGCTTGAGCCCACGAGGTTGAGGCTGTAGTGAGCTATGATCACACCACTGCACTCCAGCCTGGGTGACAGAGCTGGACCTTATCTCAAAATTAATAATACTAATAAATAATTTATGGGTTTTTTTCCCTCTTTTAAGTGGAGGAAGATATTTTTGTTGTAAAATATACATAATGTAAAATTTACTTTTAACTATTTTAGGGTTTCTTTGTGAGGAGATAAAAAATGTTCTGCAGTTGACTGTTGAAATGGTTGCACAGATCTGTGAATGTACTAATGGTCATTGAATTGTGTACATTAAAAAGGGTAAATTATATGGTATATGAATTATTTCTCAATGAAGCTGTTATATGGCCTTTTAGTCCTATTAATCAAAATCAGGGGACTCATAGATGAGTAGAGAACATTTTGGAAAAAGAAATTCATATCTAACAAGACTTATGTAAATAGATCCACTTCACCCTTTACAGCAAGTGGTGCAGTTTTCTATTAACCAATACACCAGCAGATGAAATTAAAATGTCATTAGTTCTTCACTGGATTCATGTAGCAGAACACAGATAATAAGCTCTGTCTTTTTTTTTTTTTTTTTTTTTTTTTTTTGAGACAGAGTCTCCCTCTGTTACTCAGGCTGCAGTGCAGTGGCACAATCTCAGCTCACTGCAACCTCCGCCTTCCGGGTTCAAGCAATTCTTGTGCCTCAACCTCCTGAGTAGCTGGGACAACAGACATGCACCACCATGCCTGGCCAATTTTTGTATTTTTAGTAGAGACGGGGTTTCACCATGTTGGATTACCTACGTAAGCCGCTGTGCCTGATCTTATATAATAATAATAATTATTATTATTTTCAGACAGAGTCTTGCTCTGTCACCCAGCTGGAATGCAATGGCAGAATCTTGGCTCACTGCAACCTCCACCTCCCGGGTTCAAGCAGTTCTCCTGCCTCAGCCTCCCAAGTAGCTGGGATTACAGGGACACACCACCACACTCGGCTAATTTTTGTATTTTTAGTAGAGATGGGATTTCACCATGTTGGTCATGCTGGTCTGGAACTCTTGACCATGTGATCTGCCCACCTTGGCCTGTAATCCCAAAGTGCTGGCATTACAGGTGTGAGCCACTGTGCCTGGCCCTTATTTAATTTTTTAAAGCACTCTTTATTGGGGTTTAATTTTACAGGTGCTGTCCTTAAAAAAAAAAAAAAAGAAAAAAAAACCAGTGTGTTGAGGTATAATTTATATACCATAAGTCTACCAGTTTTAAATGTACATTTCAGTTATTTTTAGTAGATACAAAAAGCCATCACTACAGTCCACTTTTAGAACATTTTGTCTTTGGGAATTCATTAGAACCTGAATTGAAAACAAGTTTTTTCAAAGATGCTTTGAGATGGTTTCTAACCCTTTTACTAAGCTCATTTTAAATATTTCACAGCTATTACTTTGTACCTTCTTAACATAGTGAGAGTTCGGCTCTTTTCTAAAGAGTTAACTGTCATGTTTCTGTTTTTTTTTTTCCCCCAGAATTTCAACAACAGTATTAAATAATCATCGTGATAGCATTTTAAGGAGTCTTGTCTTGATCTTGATTAGCAGTTGTTTTCAATAGACATGATAGTTGAGCAATTATCTTGCTAATTTTGTTTTTCTAAGTTTGGCTTTCTCTACAATTGAATTTATTTAGCGTTAGGACTATCTCACATTTTCAGCTTTTATTGAGAGTTCATATATATATTTTTTCCCCTTGGCTTTTAAAAACTGTGGTGAATTACAAAAGGTTTTTTAGTTTCATAATCTTTTGCATTCCTGTCATAGTAATTTAATTTTATTTTATTTTAATTTTATTATATTTTATTTTTGTCACCCAGGCTGGGGTATAGTGGCGTGATCTCAGCTCACTGCAGCCTCCTCCTCCTGGGTTCAAGCGATTCTCCTGCCTCAGCCTCCCGACTAGGACTATGGGCACCCACCACCACCACGCCTGGCTAATTTTTGTGTTTTTAGTAAAGACGGGGTTTCACTGTATCAGCCAGGCTAGTCTTGAACTCCTGACCTTGTGATCTTATCTTGAACTCCTGACTCCCAAAGTACTAGAATTACAATACAACCATGAGCCACCGTGCCCAGCCTTTTTTTCTTTGTTTGTTTGTTGTTGTTGTTGTTGTCCAGGCTGGAATGCAGTGGCACTATCACTACTCACTGCAGTCTCCACCTCCCAGCTTCAAGCCTCCAGAGTAGCTGGAATTACAGGCATTCGCCACCACACCCGGATGATTTTTATATTTTTAGTAGAGATAGGGTTTTACCATGTTGGCCAAGCTTATCTTGAACTCCTGACCTGAGGTGATCCACCTGCTTCACCCTCCCAAAGTGCTGGGATTACAGGTGAGAGACACCCCACCCAGAGTGTATCCAAAGGAAAAATCTTTTAATGCCCTGTAAAATTTGGTTTGCTAATTTTAGAGTTTTCCCATCTATATTTACAAATGAAATTGACACCTAACTTTCAATTTTGTACTCTTTGTGAGGTTTTGCTTATAGGGTTAAATTACCTTTGTAAAATTAATGGGCTGGGCGGGGCAGCTCACACCTGTAATCCCAGCACTTTGGGAGGACGTGGCAGGTGGATCACTTGAGGTTGGGAGTTTGAGACCAACCTGACCAACATGGAGAAACCCCGTCTCTACCAAAAATACAAAATTAGCTGGGTATGGTGACGCATACCTATAATCCCAGCTACTCGGGTGGCTGAGGAAGGATAATCACTTGAACCCGGGAGGTGGAGGTTGTGGTGAGCCGAGATCATGCCATTGGACTCCAGCCTGGGCAAGAAGAGCAAAACTCTGTCTCAAAAAAAAAATTGCCTTTGTAAAATTAATGGGATAGCTTTTCTATTTTCCTCTTACGTATTCTGGAAAGTTCCTGTGGTAAAACTGCTCTTCACCGAAGAGTATGGTAAAGGTCATTCCTTGGTATTCTTTTCAATCTTTTCTCATTGTTTTACTCATGTTTTTGTCTTCAGGTCAGTTTTAGTAATTTATTCTTTCCTAAAAAGTTGTCTATTTCATTGAGATTTCAAACTGTCTATTTCACTGAGATATCTATTTCTAGCATAAACTTGTATTGTACTGTCTCTTTGTTTATAGTACTACTCAGATTTGCTGTATTTTTCTTCTCAACTAGATTATTCGAAGGTAAATCTGTTTTATTTTTTTTCTAAAGTACTAGCTCCAGGATAATTTTATAAGTATCACTGTTTAGTGTTATTTTTAAAATTTTCTTTGAAAGCAGTTTTGATGTCCTTTTTGACATGGTAGCTTACAAATGCTTCTATAGCTGCAAATAAATAATTGCCTAAATTTCACCTGTTAATTTTTACAATGCCTCTTTATTCTTCTTTAGGCACGAGATGTGCGTACCAATGAAGTGGTGGCCATCAAGAAAATGTCTTACAGTGGAAAGCAGTCTACTGAGGTAGGTTAAATATGTACATTCTTTGTCTTTCTTGCATTTATCTCAGAATAAATATATACATTCTTATTGGCATATTAGGGGAAGACATACTATTTTTAATTGGGGAGGAAGGGTGGGAATTTTTTAAGTGTTAACATAGGTGAACTGTATAAATCTTAAGTATATATCTCAATGAATTTTCTTTCACAAACTGATGTACCCATCTAACTCTAATAGTACCAAGAGCCATAAACAGAGCATTACTGGTATCTCCAAAGCCCCCCTAATTGTGTCTCCTGCTTTTAATTTTTTTTTTTTTTGAGATAGTCTCTCACTCTGTCACCTCAGCTAGAATGCAGTGACACAATCTTGGCTCATTGCAACCTTCACTGCCTCTCAGGTTCAAACAGTTTTCCTGCATCAGCCTCCAGAGTAGCTGGGATTACAGGTGTATACCACCACACCCAGCTAATTTTTGTTTTTGTTTTTAATTTTTGTATTTTTAGTAGAGACAGGGTTTCGCCATGTTGGCCAGGCTGGTCTTGAACTCGTGACTCCAGGTGTTCTGCCTGCCTTTACCTCCCAAAATGCTAGAATTAGATGTGTGAGCCACCATGCTTGGCCTGCTTTTAATTTTTTAAACTGTGGTTTTAAATATTATTCTTTGTTTATCTTGGAAGGATTATCAGTTTCTAAAACATTAAAGTAGAATAAGATGTACTTGACAGTAAATCATATTGGATATGATCTTTTTTCTTTTCTTTTCTTTTTCTTTTTTTTTTTTTTTTTTTTTTTGAGATGGAGTCTGTCCCTGTCCCCTGGGCTGGAGTGCAGTGGCACAATCTTGGCTCACTGCAACCTCCACTTCCCAGGTTCAAGTGATTCTCCTGCCTCAGCCTCCCAAGTAGCTGGGATTACAGGCACCTGCCACCATGCCTGGCTAATTTTTTCTATCTTTAGTAGAGGTGGGGTTTCACCACGTTGGCCAGACTGGTCTTGAACTTCTGATCTCAAGTGATCCACCTGCCTCGGCCTCCCAAAGTGCTGGAATTACAGGCATGAGCCACCACACTTGGCTTATGATCTTTAAAATGGTTTAAATGTTGTTTAATGCCAGTTTAAACAAACTTTAATCAACATGCAGTGTATATCTAGTGTGAGAAACAAGTAATGTATAACAATTTGAAAAATTAAAAAATGAAATTATTAATGCTATATTGAATGTACTTTAGTTCACCAATATTCTAATTAGTTTTTTCAGATTATATTCTACCTAATTTCATAAATTTATTTATGAAATATAGTCTGCTTTTTAAAATCTAGAATTCTGGCTGGCACCGTGGCTCACACCATAATCCCAGCACTTTGGGAGGCCGAGTTGGGTGGATCATTTGAGCCCAGGAGCTCGAGACCAGCCTGGGCAACGTAGTGAGACCCCTGTCTCAATTTTTTAAAAAATACATTTATAAATATAAAAGGAAAAGAAAATCGAGAATTCAATCTTTAATCTTAAATTTTTTACAATTATTTTTAATTGTGGTGAAATATAAATTGTAAAATTTGCCATCTTAACTATGTTAACTATTTTAAATTCCACATTTCAGTACAATTAAGTACATTCATGTTGTTGTGCAGCCATTATCACCATGCATCTCTAGAATTCTTTTTATCTTGCATAGCTAAAACTCTGTATTCATTTAACAATAATTCCTCAGCCTCTTGCAACCACCAGTCTACTTTCTGTCTTCATAACTTTGACTAGGTACTTAATATAAGTGGAATCATTTGGGATTTGTCTGTTCATGACTAGTTTATATCACATAATGTAATATCTCCAAAGTTCATTCATGTTGTAGTATGTGTCAGAATTTCCTTGCTTTTTAAGTCTGAAAAGTATTCCATTGTGTATATGTATATATATTTATGTGTGTATATCTACCTATGTCTGTTTGTACATATACTATATTAGAGTCTGATTAGTCACACCTAGAACAAAAATTTTCCTTTGCCACATCATCTTTTAATGTCTAATGTTGGTGTCCTTCGTGAAAATTTTATTATGTTGAGTAATACATTTTTTTGAGTTTACCTTCCATAGTATTCAAATTTGAAACTTAAAGACCATAGAAAAGATTTTGAGGATTTAGCATTTTATAATGTATCTTAACATTTTTCACAAAACACTGTGAATATATTTTGCTGTGTTCTGTTACGGCCTTGTGCAATCACATAGGAGGTAAATGGTCTTTTTGTTTGTTTGTTTGTTTGAGATGGACTTTGGCTCTTGTTGCCCAGGCTGGAGTGCAATGTCATGATCTTGGCTCACCACAGCCTCTGCCTCCTAAGTTCAAGTGATTCTTCTGCCTCAGCCTCCCAAGTAGCTTGGATTACAGGCGTGTACTACCACGTCCGGCTAATTTTGTATTTTTTAGTAGAGACAGGGTTTCTCCATGTTGGTCAGGCTAGCCTCGAACTCCTGACCTCAGGTGATCTGCCTGCCTTGGCCTCCCAAAGTGTTGGGATTACAGGCGTGAGCCACTGTGCCCGGCCCACAGCATCTCTTAAAGTATTCTATTTATACGACTTTCCTTGCCATTAAGAATATAACCCAAATCAGTGATTAAGCTTAAAAAAATTAAAACAAGAGCCAAAACAGATTTCTAGTCCCCCTCTCACACCTGCTAAACCTGTAGAATTTCTGGGTATGGACCAACAGATATGTATTTTTAGAGTTCCCAGGTTGCTTCTTAAGAGTAACTATGAGGCCGGGCGCGGTGGCTCAAGCCTGTAATCCCAGCACTGTGGGAGGCCGAGGCGGGTGGATCACGAAGTCAAGAGATCGAGACCATCCTGGTCAACACGGTGAAACCCCGTCTCTACTAAAAATACAAAGAATTAGCTGGGCATGGTGGTGCGTGCCTGTAGTCCCAGCAACTCAGGAGGCTGGGGCAGGAGAATTGCCTGAACCCAGGAGGCGGAGGTCGCGGTGAGCCGAGATCGCGCCATTGCACTCCAGCCTGGTTAACAAGAAAGACCGTCCCTCCCTCTCAAAAAAAAAAAAAAAAGAGTATGTTTAGGATGTGGCCTAAGTAGTTAAGGTTGTCATGGAGTAGCTTAAGACCAAAGGTTTATCTGTATTTCTTGATAGGTATTAGAGAATAAGGCTCTTAGTAAACTATGTAGGAAAAGATTTTTGCACTGCTTGGTTTTTTTCTGTGAACTTTTATATAATAACTAATTATTCACTAGCATTTTAGAGTCTGCATTTAGGAATTTAAATCTCAAGGAGTTACTTCATCTGAGTTAAAAACAAAAACAAACCTTAACATTTGGTAAAAGAAATAAGCCAAAAACACGACAGGTGAACTTTATGATATATGTCAATAAAACTGTATATAAAAAATGAAAGGTTGGACTTTTGAAGAAAAATCACTGAATATGGTGTATAGTTATCCACATGATTGGTGTATGGTTGTAAAATTCTAATAAGGTTCATTAATGATAAATTCGATCAAATTCAAATTTGTCTTACCTACCTTGAGTGAAATAATTTTGTAAATTATATAATTAAGTTATAAACTATAGGCATGCCTTGAAGATACTGTGGGTTTTGTTCTCGACCACTACAATAAAGTAAATATTATAATAAAGCAAATCACATGAATTTTTTGGTGCCCAGTGCATATAAAAATTATGTCTAGGCCAGGCGCGGTGGCTCAAACCTATAATCCCAGCACTTTGGGAGGCCGAGGCGGGTGGATCACGAGGTCGAGAGATCGAGACCATCCTGGTCAACACGGTGAAACCCCGTCTCTACTAAAAAATACAAAAAATTAGCTGGGCATGGTGGCGCGTGCCTGTAATCCCAGCTACTCAGGAGGCTGAGGCAGG